TTACTTCAGTGGTCCCCAGCTCAAAAAACAAACAGAAACAAAACAAAACAAAACAAAACAAAAAAAAAAAACAAATGAAAAAGGCAGCTTCTATTACTCTTAGGCCTGGATCAGGGCAGATCAGGGGTGTGTGTGCAGACTTGAGGACCTGGGTGGGGGGCGGGGGGGCACCGAGGCCAGCAGGCAGGAGGGAAAAGGGGATGGGGAGCTGGGCTGCCCGACAAAGGTTACCAAGAGTTAGAAAGCTTTTCTCTTACAACACTGTTTTTCAGACTCAATTTTAGATCCCCCCAAACTCCGCCGCTCAAGTAGTCAAACATTCCCAAGATATGGGAACCTAGTTTCTGGTAAAGAAAGTCATACCAAATTCGCTCTCTCTGAAATGCCACCTGTCCTTTATTGGCTCTGTATCACAGTGCAGAGAGAGGGAAGCGAACAGAAATTAGAGCTGAAGGGAGACTTTTTGCTATAGAAATGAGGCTCTCCAAGTCGGCCCCACAATTTTTGCATTAATGACACTGGCTGTTAGGAGACATAATTATTCACTTGCATTTTAGGGTTTTTTTCCTAACTTATTGGTCAGGGGGAAATGCTTAACAGACAGATACTCAAATAGGTTCTTCACTGGTATTTTATTTCAAATCTTTTTCAAAATCAAATAGATTTTTCAAATCTATTTCAAATCAAAGATAGCATTTAAAATGTTACTTTAGTCTACTAAGCATGGATTCTGGTTCCCTCCAGAATAGGATATTGGAAAGCTCACAAGGCTCCAGATACTAAGATGTCATTCTTTAACCTTTCTACAGAATGCCAGTGAAGATTCCATATTTTCACTGTATTGCGAGAGGAAAAAAAAAAAAATCTATGTTCTGTCACACATATATTTCCACCTCCCACCTCACCCCCAAGAAATGTATTTCTCATCAGGAATAGATCCTTGGAACGATGTAGGTGTTGGTGACAAAAGAGATACAGATGAAGACTATTCAGTATGACCACATTTTCTTCTAAGGAATCTTTGAAATTGCCTCTTTCACCTGCAGAGTTCTGCAGACCATGGAGAAGACCACTGTATTAGATTAATCTATATATACCAGATTAAAAACAGAATTTAGTAGAATGTTAAAAGGCTAAAAAGAAAGAGGTTGACGAATCTGAAAACTAGATACCTAGAAATTTTTTAAATGAATTCCAAACCTATTAAATAATTAGCTTAGTGTTATGAATAGCCTCATCTTTTCGTAATACCAATCCACAACCACCTACAGAACACGGAGAAAAGGCGATCGATCGGCTCACAAGAACACTGCTGACGCAGCCTACCACGACCGCCATCACCACCCCCATGACGCGAGGGCGCGGGAAGGACTGCAGGCAAGGGACATGAGCCGATGGTGTGGAAGTTACACAGGCTCAAAGTCTAGGGCCAACTGATACAAACTGAATGGTACCGGGGTATGTGGCTGGTTCAACCGGTAGAGCATGTGACTTTTGATCTCAGGGTTGTGAGTTCAAGCCCCAAGCTGGGCGTGAAGCCTACTTAAAATATAACACCAAAACAAAACTGAACAGTACAGGTCAAGAGGAACATAAATTCTTTCACATAAGAAGAAAGCTTACAGACTGGGCATGGGGATGGATCACAGACACCATTTCCTTCCAAATCAAAGCACTGTCTTTGCCTCTGGGTTGGGATCATGGACTGCGAATGAGCTCTGATAAGGAAAAGCTTTAGTGTTAGTCACAGAAAGTGAGGATTCTTAGCTTGCAGTTGAGACTGGGCTTGTTGAAGAAATAAATCTTATAAATAATTATTTGGCAAGGATAAAGTATTCACTTTCTTTAGCCTGATGCCACTCAAGACGGTAACTACAATTTTAAGGAAAAGAAACACACGCGCGCGCACACACACACACATTTTCCAACTTTATCTCCATCTCTACTATTTGCTTCTCATTAAATTATCATCTTCTCGTGGAGGGACACTAGACACACTGCAGTGCCTGCCAGCATGAAATTGCTCAGGAAGTCATTTATAAAGCAGTTCTATCTCACATGGTAGGTTACTAGAGAAAAAAAAAAAGTCCTTCACCTTATAAGCTATGTGACAATAATTACAAAATTTTTCCATTGCATAGTCTGTCATTTGGTGGGTTAAGTGTAATTGCTATTTACTATTGTGGATTGTTTACTAGCTACATAACCTACGCAGATGTGCAAATTACTAAGCCATTTTTACAGAGGAAAAAAATAATGTCTTAAGTACTTTAATTAAAATAATATTAACAATTATGTAGAGAGAGTAAAGGAGAGAAAAACACTTCTTCGATGCTCTAAGATCACAGCCAGTATCATTCCTCAGAATGGAATTCAGATTCTCCGAGCACAGAGTGTATCCATGAAACTGCAGCAACTGTGTAAGTAAATCACATTAACACAATCTAACTGGCCTTTATATATGGTCCCAAAGAACTACAGAAACGGAGTGAACTTCTCTGCCACTATTTCTCCTGAATTTCACACTAGCATACAAGCTAGTTTCCACCAAACCAGGACCTCATGTGAATTCTGTTTGCGATTCCAGTACTGCCTTATGATAGCGTAAGTGCTACTTAAAGACACGAATTTTCGTTATTTCCAGAGTGAAAAATGCTTCATTCCTTTCTCTACACATGAACAGCAAACCTACTACTAACAGACTAGAATTGCCCCGCGTTTGCTAAAAGAAAAACGTTAACAGGTTATCTCTGGGTTCACAGGATGTTCTTCTCTCTTCCGAAAAGGGATTCACAAGAAGCCGCGAGAGCAAAGTAAATTGCAAGCTGGGATGCTGGTTTTGAAGGAGATAAAATGAGAAGACAATTTTGTTTTTTTTGCTAATTCCTCAAACCTACAGTGGTACTTCCTACGGGAGCCCCTTCTTCAGCTATCCCTGTGGGCATCTAAACAAAAATGAACTGACTTGAAGTTTTTGGTGTGAAGCTGAAACTGGCAACATTCCTGATCATTTCATGCCTCCTTACTAGAAAGCAGGAAAGGGGCTTTTCAATGCACATAAAACAGAAAATTGCAAACAAGAAAATGTGCAACTTACTGCAAACTCAGTTTTGATAACTGAAGAGTTTTAAGCAGCTACCACGAGAGACGAAGAGCCAGAGAAGTTCAAACCGACTACCCAAGACGTTCCCTTTGCTGTCAGAGAAGGGCTGGTAGGTTAAGACAGTCGGTGTGCTGCTCTGCTACAACCTTGAATTAGTACACCATGGAGACTAGATCAGATTGCTGGGAACGGGATGGTTATCTAGGGATGATGAGAACAGGAAGGGAAAGAATGGAGGAAAACCAACTAACTGATACTTTTGAGCAGAGGTAACTACTCGTAATCACTTCATTACAGTACATTAAAATAAAAAAGCTTACTAACATAGGTTCACAGGTGAGAAATACTCAAATTATCTGTCCTCACCATTCAGAATAGAAATTTATGGTGATACCAAATATAATTTTGCTTTGTGACATAATTTATAATTTAGAAATTTCTCAATCTGCAAAAAAGGCAAAGCTATTCAAAAATAAATCTTCCAATCAATTATCGTGATAAAGAAAAAAAAACCTAAATATATTACAAATGTATTTTTGGCCCACAGAAAGAAAACGTCAATAAATACAAAACAGGGCATATAATGATTTCATACAGTCATGTGACATTTCCCCCTCCATAATCTCAGGCACGTCGTATCTGCATAATGCCTGCTGATCACCATTATTCCTTTAAAAAGCAGAGAAAGAAAGCTTTCAAAAGAAGGGACTGGTTAGAATTAGCATGGCATAAAGAGATTACATATAGGAAGTAGGAAAATACATCCAAATCTTTACCTATTGAAAAGGAATTAAGATCAAGTATTCCCTGACAAATGAATTATTATATCACATCCTAAATAGATATGTTCTCTCTACTCATTTTTTAAAATATATATATGTAAATTAGACTAGACTCAGGTATAAATAGCCAATGGTATCTCAGGGGACAGTGAGGCTTCTCAGCAAAAGCAGAGCACAGACGCCTCTAGAATCTAGTTCCACCCTGGGGGCCGGGGCCGGGGACAAGGCAGGTAAAAAGAAACCTCACAGATTTATTTCATAGTCACCAACTTACTAAACTACCAATATGATTTTTGAACCCTAAAATCCTGGTACTTTAAAAAAAAAAAAATTCCCCAAAGTTAAACCTAATTACTTCAATTATTTTAAAAGTACCAAAGGGTGGGTATTCCATATTCTGCTTTGAAAGAAACTTTAAAATGTGTATCCTTCAGATATTACACATCACTTCACAACTGGTACGTTGATTCTACAAGTGTCTCTGACATCTTACAAATCTTACCGAAGAACCACTACTGTAAACAGGAAAAAGTCAAAAGGAAAAGACACACCAAGGAGTTCAGAGATCCCATCTTTCCAAACCTAGCTGACCTGTCCTGCTCTTCACATCAAAATGTGGTCTTTCTGTAATTACACCTCGGGAAGGTACTCCGCGAGAGAGGGATGGAGACACCAAATGCGCGTCTAAAAAGGCCGAGTGACCACCAGACCTTGCAATCTCAGCAACCGCGCGGTAGGTGCACGCGAGCTCGCCATGATGTCCCCAGAGCCCCGAAGTGAATTCGGCTTTCTGCGTTCCCCGATCACCGAGCACAACAGGGTTGTGCAATTCGCATCATCAGCCTGCCACTCTCTCTACGCGGGAGACCTCACTAATTCAGGGGGAAAGAATGACCAACCCGATGAGGGTTCTGAGATGTGGGAAAGGAGAAGTCAGAGCCTTATCCTCATTAGGAAAAAAAAAAAATAACAAAACAACAACAACAACAACAACAACAACAACAACAACGGGACAGCTGCTTCCTGCCCTGCATGGACACACACATGGGCGCGCGTGCGCACACACACACACACACACACACAGGCGGTCAAAAGACTAATTTTTTTTTTTTTAATCGAACATGATCACAATTCGGAATGGACTCCTGGCCTCATGTGGTGTCTAGCAGGTGGTGCTGGATCAGAGCCCCGACCTGCCCCCCACACACCATCTGCTATCACTTACACAGGAACTCAGTGAATAGGACCATTCTATCTAGAACCACCTCCGTCAAGACCTGGTCACAGAATGGAAAGCATTGATCTGAATACTAGGAAATAGTAAAAGGGCACTGGTAATCTGAGGTATCTTCCACTTCTAGGACTTGCTGCTAAAAATCGATTCTATCCAGTCACTGTGCTGAGCCACGAAGGAAACCATCGGGGGAGGGTGAACCTGCCAGGGGGGAATGAGCACCAGTGCGAAGGAGCACACGTGAACACTGAAGCGAGGTCCACCGCAGGCCGACTTGTTGAACTGGAAAAGGGAGTTCCCCTGTAGTCCCCATCTGTTATTTTTAAAATCTCCGTTAGGAAAAGGGGGAGAGGGATGATAAACAGGAAACAAAGATAGAAAACGCCAGACTCCCCACCTGCCTGCAAACACACAGACACGCTCAGTTAGGGGAGGGAAAGGGAGAAGATGCATTATTGGTACTTGTAGCTGTGGCACCTGTTACTGTGAAGCCTGTAGGAGGGGCTATGGAGCTGTGGCTGGGCTGCAGGTCCTTAGGAATGCCACTGTGAGAACTCAGCTGGTGGCCGAAGGCTGCGCTGAACTGAGGGAGCTGCTGCTTGGGGGAGGTGGAGGCCATGAGTTCAGCAGAAGGCCCCATGCCACTGAAGCTGGTCTGCGGTAACCCCGGGAGCACGCTGGAGCTGCTGGGGGTCACAGTGGCGAAGGCAGGCTGTGTGGTCTCTGAGTTCGAAGTGGTGGGTGGCGTGGAGAGGGAAGTGGAGAGAAGATGTCCATCTGCGCCGAGAAGGTTGCTAAATGGAGAGGGCTCTCCGAGGTTGACAGGGAGATTGCCCCAGTGAGTTCTGGGGTTTACGACTCCTCCAAGTGGCACCTCGAGTTGGGTTGGGAGCAAGTGCTGCGCCATGATGGGCATCTCTGCTGAAAAGGTAGCTGCCATATTATCACCAGAGAAAGATGTCGTGTGGGGAGAGGTGATATGGTCACTATAGGGAGACGGCACGTGCTCACTATCATAATGGCTTCCGTGGGGCGAGGAGTGTGAATGATCACTGCTGTATTGCTGTCGTGAGGTGATTAGGTCATCTGCCTTGCTCAGCAGCTGGGCAGGATGTGGCCTCTGGGAGGCATGGCTGCCATCATGTAGTCCATGAAACTGTCCTGGGAAGGCTCTCTCCCCAAGTGCACTCTGGCTGATCAGAGTGGCAGAAGTAAGGCCAACGTTGGCTGGGGCAGAGAACTGCCCCTGGATCTGCCCTGCCAGGGGTGTAGGTGGGTTAGACAAGGTAGCAGAACGGAGCAGGTTCTCATCCAGCTCTAGACTAGAAAAATTATCATGTACTATGCGCCCATTCAATAGCTCCCCTAGGTCCGTGTTAACTTCTCTGCTCAGGGACTGAATTCCTGAAGCTCCACTACCTGTGGAGAACACCCCTATTCCTCTATCGGACAACTCCTGGACTGGCACACCATCTGACTGGGTAAGTACCCCAATGGTACTCAGGCACTCAAGAGAAGTTACAGCCTGCAAGGCCCGTTCGAGTTCCTCGGCCTCTTCGGTAGTCGGAAGGAGGTCTCCATTCTTTCCTGAGGAAAACAAAAGCCATCGAGAATGAGCAGAGCTCCCGCTGGTCCTGTATTACAAAAAGTAGATGCCTGTATTATTTTTCAACAATATTCTATGTTAAAGGGGCGCCTGGGCGGCTCAGTCAGTTGAGCTCTGACTCTGGATTTCGGCTCAGGTCATGATCTCAGGGTCATGAGATCGAGCCCCACATCGGGCTCCATACTCAGTGCCCGAGTCTGCTTAAGTCTCTCTCTCCCTCTGCCCCTCCTTCCCACTGCATGCACTCTCTCTCTCTCAAATAAACAAACAAATAAATCTTGTATAACCTGGATGGCTCAGTGGTTTAAGCCTCTGCCTTCGGCTCAGGTCACGATCTCAGGGTCCTGGGATCGAGCCCTGCATCGGGCTCTCTGCTCAACAGGGAGCCTGCTTCCCCCTCTCTCTCTGCCTGCCTCTCTGCCTACTTGTGATCTTTCTGTCAAATAAATAAATAAAATCTTAAAAAAAAATCTTTTAAAAATTGGGCCCCTGGGTGGCTCAGTCAGTTAAGCGTCTGCCTTCAGCTCAGGTCATGACCTCAGGGTCCCGGAACAGAGCCCCACATCAGACTCCCGGCAAGGAAATGTGCTTCTCCCTCTCCCTCACCCATGTGCATGTGCGTGCTCTCTCTCAAATAAATAAATAAATATAATCTTTTTAAAATAAATAAATAAAATGGCCACCTGCGTAGCTCAGTTGATTAAGCATCTGACTCTTGATTTCAGTTCAGGTCCTGATCTCAGGGTCGTAGGATCAAGCCCCACACTGGGCTTCATGCTCAGCAGGGAGACTGAGATTGTCTCTCCCTTTGTCCCTCCCCCCCCTACACACATGAGTGCTCTCTGATAAACACATAAATCACTGAAACCAAACCAGTGTTCTAGTAAAGAGTGTCCCTGTGGAACAGAGAAGCTTCCAAGGACTGGACTGGAACCTGTGTCACATCTTCCATTTATCCACAGCACCCTCTACACCCAGCTCATCAAAGCATTAAATTCTTAGGGATTTTGAGCAATACCAACTTAAAATGCACGGTGACCAGTCTGACTACACCTATGTTTTTACGTAAAGTTAAAATCATTAAAATAGGAAACATATCCATTCAGACTGGAGACAAAAGGCTGTGTAGGAGTCCCCCTTGGTTCTTCTGCTCTTGAACTCGTTCCTCCAGCAGGAGGGCGGCTGTGGACGACTGGACACACAAACTCATGCCTGCGCGTGAGCACCCCGCATTTCCCTCCACTCACACACTATCTTTTCAAATGCTTTTTGTGACCTGCTAATCCTGTTCCTCTCCTTCTAACTCACTTTCACAGAATGGAAGCCCATGGGCTGCTGCTGATTTCACTTCCAATATAAAAAAATCTAGGGGCACCTGGGTGGTTCAGTCATTAAACATCTGCCTTCAGCTCAGGTCATGACCCCAGGGTCCTGGGATCGAGCCTGAAGTAGGGCTTCTCGCTCGACTGGAAGCCTGCTTCTCCCTCTCCCGCTCCCCCTGCTTGTGTTCCCTCTCTCGCTGTCTCTCTCTGTCAAATAAGTAAATCTTTAAAAAACAAACAAAAAAAAACTACATAGTTGGGAACTTGACTAATCGCCACAAAAATATCTTTTTTTTTTTTAATGGGAAAGAAACATTCTAAGACTATAAAAGGTTTCCCCTGAAAGCACCAGAGACCTGGTGAGATTAAGCAAACTTTGTTTTGGAAAAATGCACTTCAACTGACATACAGGTACTACGATTGGGACAAGTTCCAAAAAGCTTCAATAAAATCAAGTTTAAAATGTTTTTGTTGGGACGCCTGGGTGGCTCAGTCGGTTAAACATCTGCCTTTGGCTCAGGTCACGATTGCAGGGTCCTGGGATCGAGGTCCTATGTAGGACTCCCGGCTCAGTGAGAAGCCTGCTTCTCCCTCTGCCTGCTGCTTCCCCTCGTTGTGTACACTCCCATTCTCACTTTCTCTCTCTCTGACAAATAAATAAAATCTTAAAAAAAAAAAAAAGTAGTATGTTTTTGTTGAAAAATAAAGTAAAATGACTCATTGTAAAGCAACAAAGTTAAAAACCTAGCAATCAAATGATCAATCTATTAAGCCTATATAGCACGGTGAGACAAACCACACAGCTCTCACTTGTAACAAGGTAAAGAGCTTATAGCAGTGCTGAATTTTCTGTAAGGAGGGGTACTTCAAACACATCTCAGAAACACTATTTCCCTTTTAAAAGGCTCATTAAAAAAAACAAAACAAAACAAAAAAAAAACAGTCTTGAATCAAAATGTTGACCATACCTTCAAAAAAATCAAAATCTTGTAAGTCATCAGGTAGCCGTGGCAGGACGTCTGAAAAGTCCTCCTGGTTCAATTCCAAGTCATGTGGAATGTCAGTGATCTCATTGGCAATGTCATCCGGCAACTCATCAGCACTCAGCTCTGGCGTGGACGGGCTCCTGGGGAAGAGGACATGGTTGGCCCCACCACTCTCCCTGCCCCTCCACACCAGTGTCCCCAAGACAAGTTCGTCAAACACAAAGATGGGAAATCCTAACCCAAACTTCTACTTTCAGAGAAGGACATGTGAAAGCAAAAGGAAGACCTCACCATCCACAGTCAGTATTTCTGCAGCTTCTAACCAGGTATTGACAGAAATTTCAAGATAATAGTTCTACTTCAAATTAGTAGAATGAATTATAATTTTGGGCACTGATTTCTGGTAAATTTCAAATCTAGTCGAAATAATAATTTTTAGAAACGACATAAACAGATAAAGTGGAGATGCTTAGCTGAAACTCTGAGTAGCCTCATTCTTCGGGTGAAAATGCTAAGCCCTGCCAAAACTGGTAGTTCATCAGGATTCTGATGGAATATTTCTGCTGAAGCGTATATGGAACTTCTGTTAAAGCAGGAAAATCTGAGTGGACAATTAAATGCTCCATTTCAGCATCTGCTTTCTGCATTGTAACAAAATGTTTTACTTCACATCTCTCACTCAAACATTCGGTAAAAATTATACTGGAAACTACAAAGCCGAGGCTGATCTATCAGATGGCTTCTGGAGCCCAGGCACAATGCTAGAGAAGAACGTGAGGTTACACGTTCTGAGAACCATCCAACACTAGAAGGAAACGGGAGCTTCCACGCCGCCACTGACCGGATCTGAACAGCCTCCACTGGCAGTGAGACGCTGGTGGGCATGCTGAGGTTCCCTTGGGGTACTGCAGGGGGGATGGGTTTTTGGGGTCGACGAGGTCCACGCCTTCTCTTCTTCTTGTGTTTTTTGGTAAGTGCAGGAGGCTTGGTTTTTTTCCTGGGTTTCCTCTGCGGCTGGTGCTGAACCTTACGGGAGCTATCTCCTCTCAAGAAATTATCCTTCGGAATGAATAAATGGGTATTTTTAAACGGAGATGGTTTGGGAAAAACCTAACAGCTACCTGAAAAAAAGGCATCGCTTAACATTCTACGGAAGGCCTAAAGCATCCTGCATGCCTACAGCTGTGCACAGCAATAAAGGAACGAATAAAGAATTCATGTTTTAATTTAATTCAAATCAATTCAATATACACGTACAGTTCATCCCATACTCATACCCAGACACTGTGAGACCGTGGCAGGCCAAAGGGGAGGTGCAGGTGGGTAGAAGAGACACAGGAAAAAAGAAGACATTGGGATCGGTGTTGTCGAGTAAAAACATAATGAATGAAACGTAATGCACTCTCAAAGAACTTACTCTTCCACAGGAAAAATAGGAATGCAGGTATACATAAATACAGTACAGAGAAAACAAGGTAATAATGATCTTCTATGGATATACAAAAGGAACATCAATTATTTTTAGTTGCATGATTAAAAGGAAATGGCAGAAAGAAGAAAAAAGAAGAGCAAATAACCAAGTATGACTTGTGTTTGGGATGTGGCATATGGAGGACGGACTATGAAAGTAAGCTGTGAAGTTTAGCACCAGATCATGTATGACTCTGAATGCCGTTAAGGATTTTCAACTTCATCTTCTAGGTAATGGGAAATGATTTTTGATGAAAGGATTAACACAACCTGACAAATGTTCTGAAAGGAGTAACTAGGCTCGTAGCAATATAAAGGGACAGACAGCCAAGGCAAGTGGAGGGAGGCATTATTTCCAATCAGAGGCCTACTTCAACGGTCAATACAAGATAAACGACTACGGCGATGTGAGTGGGATTGGAAAAACAAAGCCCTGTAGGGACAGCATTCTTAAGATTTGACAGCTCCCTGGATGTGCTGTGGATGAAGGGAAGAGAGCACCTGAAGAAGTCTCTAGGGTTTCTAGGGTTGACTGTTAAATGATATCATTAGTGGGAACAGAGCACAGCAGAGTAAGGATTCAGAAGAAAAGTTAAGGAATGCAGTTTGGCTCACAATTTGAGGTATGAACATGTCCCAGGAGATAGGAAAAAAACGGTGTAAGGGATAAAGAATGGGGTGGAGATGTAGCCTCAGAAATCATGACATGGTAAAAGTCCTTCCAGTAATTGACATGGGCCAGGGAGACGAGGTAAAGAGAGAAGGCCGTGGGACGGCAGCGTTATAGAACCGTTCCAGTTAAGTGAGTAGGCAGAGGAAGAACCAGAAACGGACAATATAACCAGCTTTCTTCAGCACCCGCCCTCCCATCTGAATATGCATTTCATTAGTTCCAAGATACACACTGGAGCGTCCCTGCAACTCAGGTACCTCTTACAATAATGGCATCTTACAATTGCCGTTGACCCAGTGATGGTCATGATAGTCGGCATTGCCTGCACGCGTGCAAAGACGGTAACAGTTCTCGGTACTATGGCTGTGAGAGTCTAGGTATGCACATTGTTGCTTTACATGAAGAAGAAAAACCAAGTGTGCGAAAGCACAAAAAGAAATAGCACATACAACTGTCAGTACTGAAGCAAATACTCATTATTGAAGATCTGACCACAATTCCTTTTTCTTTCTTTTTCAAAGCAACAACCAAATGATAAAGGAATAGAACCACAAAGTAGACCAAACTGTGTTCCAGCTGATGAACGTAGAAAACACTGCCTTTCCCGGTCAAGTAATACAGCAGAAACGTTAGACCAGTAGCATTAGAAAAGATAGAAATTAGAAAAGATAAAAATCTATGCCTGATTAAGTCTAAAGAAGCTATTTTGATAAATATAAATCAAAAAATTTTAAGTGGTAAGAAATGCACCGTGTCCCATTTTTAAAATCTCTTGGTAGTATATAAAACAATCGTGGCTTTTACAATGGATGCCACCTTTCATTTAATGAATTCATTGATAACTCATAACTAAATACATAAAGAGTACAGACAACAGTATTTGAAAACTAGTAACTAAAACTAGTTATTAATACTTAAACAAATTTAAGACAAGAAAGAGTAAGATTAAAGTATCAATTCAGGAAATCCAAAAGGTCAACACTAGCTAAATATTTGGGTCGAAACACATATACAGACTCCAGTCACAAATGTACGAATTTATAAAACAAACAACAAAAAAGAAAGGCTGTTTCCCAGCGTCTACAGTTCTGTGGCTCAATATTTGAGGTCTACTTTGACTAGATCCAGTATTTAATTCAACAAACAGTATCCGAGCGACCACTGGTACCCACCAGGGTGCTGGGCACCCATCCCAGTCTCTCCCTCTAGGACCAGTGTTAGGTAGGAGAAAATCTGTCTAACCCAAGAGCTACATGTCCTACTTGTAAGACACTCGGTACCACCTAGCTCTGGTTCTAGGTGTGTGTCTTATTCTCCTAAGCTTATGCCTTGTAGCCCAACAATGTCATTGGTCATGTGCTAGGTACTCTACAGAGAACTGCCCCCGACTGAGGCCCTGCCATGCTCCTGGTAGTCCCCCACACAGCTCCTCTGAAGCGCTGGCACCCCCAGGCCCTGGAGGCTTTCCTCATGCCATCTGTTCATTGCCTACACTATTCACTCCCAACTTGTTCACGGCCTCCTTCTACCATATTGTGTGTGTCAGCCTGGACTTCCTGTAGCTTGAGCTGCTTCTACCAATGGCTGTTCTGTCCACTGGTTGAACCTAATTCTTCATTTCAACCCTTCCCAGCCATGTGTCTGTTACTCAACAGTGACTTCCTGGGCATCTCTGTTCTAAGCACCAGGGATATAGCAATGAACAAAAAATGTTCCTGCCTTTGTAAAATTTACATTCTAATTGAGGGATACTGGCAACAGACAAACTAACTGAAAAATAATATAGGCTGATGTGGCCGGAACTCCAGAGGTGAAGGGGGTACAAGGTGCAGCTGCGAAGACCAGATCAGCAAGTCTCACAGGCCAGGTGAGAATCCTGGATTTGACTCTGGATGTGATGGAAAGCCACTGGAAGGTTCTGACTGGGAAACTAAAACGATCACGTGTACATTCTCAAAGGCCTGCTCTCACGGCCACATACGGCATTCTGGAAAATGTAAAAATTATACGGGCAGGAAGACATCAGTGGAGACAGAGGAAGGGGCAGACTGCAAGGGTGGGTGCAGCCCAAGAGAATGTGGGCGGTTAATGGCACATCTGGATTATGGCGATGGTTACAGGACTGTGTGTGTTGTCAAACTCAGAGAACTGCGGACCAAAAAGAGTGAGTTTTACTGCATATGAACTCAAATGTCTGTGGGGTGGGGGAGGGCCACAGCAAGAAAAAGGGAGACCAATGTCTCCGGGCAAAGGTGAAGACAACTAAGGCTAGAATCATGGCAGCCAAGCTGGCACAATGTGTTTGGATTCAAGACCGTTTGAGAGTAGAGCCAAGAGATTTGTACATCATCCTCTGTGAGCCTCTCACTGTGGGACTGATGGGCTACAAAAGTTTGCTATACTCAGTTGTGACTTTTAACTTAAAACAGTCCTTGATACACATTTAGCGCATGGCAACACCAGGAGCACAGCCTTGTACTGTTACATCCTGGTCCAGTGGCCATTCGGCTACCCTGATGAACCCCTGAAAGTGCAAAATGCTTACAGAGAGAAAGAATGGTCTTACTCAGCTTTTTAATGCATTATACCTTGCATACTACCTAGCAAATAGTGGAACTCAGCAAGTATCTGGGTAAAAACAAAAAAAATGTACTTAATTACAGAAAAAATTGGCTTCTGGCTAAAATTTCATCAGGTATCTATGACATTCACTGAACTGTAAATATAAAAAAGCAAAAATCTAGAGAAATAGGGCAAAGAAAACTTGAAAAATCTGTTAAGTGTAAGAAAACGTACCTTGAGGGGGAGGGAGGTATGGAATAGGAATAAATAGTAAACAAAATAACTGTATATAAGTAACGACTAAATACCTTCTGGAAAAGTTTTCTTTTAAATGAGGCTATGAAATTAATCCAACTGATCAGGACCAGCATATATATATTAATATTTTATATACATATTTATGTATTAACATATTTATTTACGTACAGTTTTTAACTAATGCAAACAATACTTTTTATTGTGGATTGCTGTCAGAAGTTTGAAAGTCTCTGCTGCAGAAAATCAAATCTGAACTCACCATTTTTTTGGCATGTTCTTCACACAGCGGGGTCTGGTGTGTAATGTCGAATACGGGCACAGAGCACTGCTGTCCGTCTGCGAACTTGGCTGTGCAACTTGAGAAAAGCTGCTGAGAGCGGTTCAAGAGGATATCTGTGGTTTTCAAAGTTAGGAATATAACGCACTGAAACTCAAATTATTTAAGTTTTCAATTTTTATATAAAATCTGCTTCTGGGGCACCTCGGTGGTATAGTTGGTTAAGCGCCCGACTCTTGGTTTTCGCTCAGGCTGTGGTCTCAGGGTGATGGGATCGGACTCAGTGCTCAGCGGGGAGTCGGCTAGAGACCCTCTCCCTTTCTACCTCTCCCTCACTGCATGCACGCACATGCTCTCTCTCAAAATATATAAATTAGTCTTTAAGGAGGAAAAAAAAAAACCATTTTCTTCCCTTATTTGTGTTTCCTAAGTAATAAATTTTCTTATCTATAAAAGCTGAAGAACCAAGCCAACTACTAATGTGGGAAATGGTAACTGTTGAATTTATCAGAAGATACTTCTAAAGGAGTCTACTTTGCTCAAAGTCTCCTAATAGGAGTCTCCTTTATAGGCATTCTGATTTTTGTTATTCGGAAAAAGCAGGGTCATTTCATTCTTAACACACTAACTCCTAGAAATTCCACTATAATGGTTAGAAAATACCACTTTCTTTTAAGGAAAACTTTCATATATAATCCTCATCAAGAAGAATAAAAATTTTAAGATATAGTTACAAAAGCTCATCTATCCAAATATGATTTTTCATTTCCCATTTCCAACATGAAACTCAAACTCACAACTTACGGAAAGTTACTTTTAGATCAAAACTTTATCATTAAAACTAGAAGATCAGCTTTACTTGATCAACATTTTTAAACGTCCAAACTTTTAGCCCCTAGCTGCATTTCCTCAAGACATACTTTATACCTATCAAGGGACCACCTTTGTTTTTCCTTTATACTTTAATAGTTGAGGCTATTTATAAAACCCTGACTGCATAGAAAGTGCTGCTGAAAAAGTTGTGAAAATTTGATGCCAGGAATGAAAGGAGGGCAAAAAGTCAAAGATAATAAAGAAGAGCAAGTAATTGCTACCGTATAAATTTTTTAAATGCTACTCAATTTTAAATGTTTAATAAAAGTGAGAGTAATAAGATTTCAAAACCAGCCTGAAGCCCTTTACCGCATGTTTTCCTCAAGTATATTCTGTCTTAATGTATCTTCTTTCCTAGTCAGTGATGTTTATCTTTCTTCCATTTCAAATCAGCACTATGTTCAATACAAAATAGCAAATTATTCCCAGGGCAAAAGGGACACTGTAAAACTATGTAACTTTCTGGGAAGACTAAAATCAGATTTTGAATAATACAATTTGCCTTCTCCATGAACGGGTGTTATAGTTGCCTCCTAGAAGCTATGCAGAACCACGGCAAGCACAAGATTTCTTGCAACTGAGTGACCGCCACCAAAAGAACCTGCTACTTGCTATCAATTTTTCAGATTCTGATATAATTCTTGAATAAAGAATCACAACAACAGAAGTGGAAAAAAATTACTCGGGAGACTTCATGAAAAAAGTTACACAAAAATTTTAAACATTACAATAGTTAAGATTTCAAAAGTTATCCACTTGGCTTAAGAATGAAAATACCAGCCCTGAATGAGTTAATACTTTTCAGTGCACACTCCATTCAGTTAAGAGGATACGCTGGAAACAGTGTCTGGTGAATGGAAGGGCTTTGTTAGGGCATCGTTCACCCTTCACGGTTCCACTGCATGCGGCTGGCTCTACTGCTCTCAACTTGGTCCGGCTCATGCTGAGAAAGCAAAGAGACAACATTCATTTTTAAAAGAATGCTGGGAGAATCCAGGGCAACGTTACAACACCAGGCTGGCAGGTTGTAACACCAATATTTTACCTTCCTATGTTCATTCAGTAAAAAGGTGACTATGAGGTACAATGACCAGTTCCAGTATTTCCCCAATCTACTGACAAAACCAGTAATTATATATTATCATCGATCTCCACAATGCCTATTTTTTCTTTTTAAAGTGGTATTTTGGTTCCTTTGATGTCAGAAACAGCCAGTGAGGAGACAAAAAGGGATAAAGAACAGGAGACTGGATTAGCAGACCTAATTCGGAATCTCAGCTCTACCTCTTCCCAGCTGTGTGACCTTGGGCAAGTTACTTAACCTCACTTAAGCCTCAACTTGCCCGCCTATAAAGTAGAGATAAGAGTACCTTTGGGGGACAGGTAAGCACCAAAAGATATAACACATCTAAAATACTTATCATATACAGTGGATAGTTTAATACCTAGTAAATAGTTAATGGTTGTTAGTTCTTGGTATTATTATCCTCATTAGAGTCTGGTCATGTGAAGCTGCTAAACAGTGAATGTGCAAGAAACTTGACCTCATATAGAAGAAAGGTGTAATGACATGGAGAAATGGTTGATTTGCTCTCATCTTCCAAAATGAACTCATTTTGGATATATGTTTTAAACTTTTCAAAATATGTACAATTCCATCTTTCATTAAATGTTACCTCCCCTCTGTATATTCAAAATTTAAATATTTGATTCTTACTTTTAAATTCATGAGTAGGCAATGTGTTCACAGGGTCCCAGAAAAACCAAAGAATAAAAAGCTAGGCAACAAAGAGTCTACTTTCAAGGTGCCTGGGGGGCTCAGTGGGTTAAGTATCTGCCTTCTGCTCAGGTCATGATCCCAGAGTCCTGGGATCAAAGTCCCGCATCGGGCTCCATACTTGGCTGGGAGCCTGCTTCTCCCTCTGCCTGTCACTCCCCCTGCTCATGCTCTCTCTCACACACACACAAATAAATAAATAAACTCTTAAAAAAACAAAAACAAAGAGATTTTTATAAAATAAATAAAATGTTTTAAAAAGTCTTTCTAGCTACCCTTGTCCCAATTTTCCAGTTCCCACTCCCTCTATAGTAAGTATTCGTTTGAATAGTTTGTGGATCTTTCCATAGTTTTTTTACAAACATTAAAAATTAAAAATACATAATATTCAAGTTCTTAGAAGTACAAAATTGTCCTGAGATAATCTGACTCTCTGAAGCATCACAAACTGGTAGGACTTTACACCTATCTGAGGGTAGACAAGGAAATCGACATGATATGCTGAATCACATGTCAGGCATCACGAATAAAATATCTTTTGAACGGTTTCTATATCTAAGGATGATTTTTTTAAAGATTTTATTCATTTATTTGACAGACAGAGATCACAAGTAGGCAGAGAGGCAGGCAGAGAGAGAGGGGGAAGCAGGCTCCCCGCAGAGCAGAGAGCGCAATGCGGGACTCGATCCCAGGACTCTGGGACCATGACCTGAGCCAAAGGCAGAGGCTTTAACCCACTGAGCCACCCAGGCGCCCCTATATCTGAGGATTTCAACAGAATGATTTACACTAATCAGAAGGTCATTCAGATCCCAAAGTACATATGAATCGAAAGAAAATCTAAATAAAATTTCTACTCTAACTTTCATATAAACAGTACATACAAATAGAGAACCAGGTACTACCATCAAGGCATTTTAATTAAGGGTTCTACCAGATGTGTCAGAGTCACAAGAGTGGGGAAGGGAGCCATTAACTTATGTCTATAAACCGGACAGACAATTTCAAATAAATGAAGCCGTACTATTGTGGCAGCCTACCCCAATTCTCTTGGTCTAGATTTAAATAGAAGGCATTTCTCTATATCGAATAGATTATTTTTGTGGAACACTTCAAGAATCTGCTCAGCCATTCACCAAGCCTCGGATACACTACAGTCCCTCGTTTTTTCTTTATCCTAGATTTCGAAGGGAACTACTGGTTTCATTTTGTAAAATTGCTGATATGTTCCAACTCGCCAATCTTTCTCTTAAACAGTAACATAAACTTAAAGTCAGAATTTCAATACCCCCCACCCCGGATGATTAAGGTAAAAATGCCTGATGTTAGACAGATTTTTATTACCTGAATAATCTCAACAAAAGGAGAATTACCAAAACATTTTGATGTTTTTAATGTGAAAACACCTACTATGAGTTTCCCTTTTGTATGATTAGATCCCCCTTTTATAATAAAATTTCTACACAACACTAGTCTCTGCAGGATTGTGGCTACAAGATAACTAGATCTGAGTTTATATACTTAAGCTATTTCAGTGGTTTAGTCCACATATTCACCAATATATATGACAAAGCTCTTAGATGAGAAAGAATAATGTTATTCAGTTTAGATCCAAACTGTATGTTAAAGGATATCTACTAAAAGGCAGTCATCAAAGTTTTAACTTCTAAAACATTTAAAGCCAACTTTTTAAATGTCTTTTGTGGAACCAGTCTTTGAAAGCAAAAACATCAAATAGAGGACATTATCCAACTAACAGCTAATTTTTTGTGAGCCTGAAATATAACGTAAGTAAAGCAGTAAACTACCCATCACCAACAAAGGATTATGGCTCACTGTTAAATGATTATCAGTGAGGCACTGACTAATAAACTTTTTACTAATCATGAGTGACAGAAACAAATGACATCAAATTAATAATTAGAGTTCGTCTTTGTATTTGTTTAGTAATATTTAATTACCACGAAATTTTTTTAAAAATCACTAACGAAGGTTTGGGAAATGTCTTGGGGGAAAAAAGGGGGGGTAGGGGGATTCTGCCAGTTAAAAATCATAGATAGATACAGTCTTCTACACAAATACGGATTGTCCCAAACTCAGAGTACAGTCCCTTACATCTTTGACAAGATCCTAATAATTTATATACAATGCTCTACACATACAGACTGCTTCACGCCAGACAAAACTGAAGTCTCTACTGAAACTGTACACTTGAAAGCATTATCTAATGTAAATGTTAGATATCATTATTTTAAAACCTATGTTAAACCAAGTGAATTCTTTCAACAAATAGAGAACAGACATCTCTTCACTTGTTTAATTCTATCCATTCATTCATCAATACCAGAGACTTAAGAACAAAATGTACATTGTTCCTGCCCTTGCAAAAATGACTGTCTAGCTTGGGGCGCCTGGGTGGCTCCGTCGGTTGTCTGCCTTCGCCTCAGGCCATAATCCCAGGGTCCTGGGATCCAATTCTGTGTCCGGCTCCCTGCTCAGCAGGAAGTCTGCTTCTCCCTCTCCTTCTGCCTCCACTGCCCCTGCTGCTTGTGCTCTCTCTCAAAATAAATAAAATCTTAAAAAAGATTTTAGCCTGACAGAAATATTAGTATACAACTGGACAGTGAGCAGAGTACGGAGCACAATAAGCATATGTAATTGGGGACCTAACATAGTGGAAGCTGGGAATGGTTCTCTGAGAAAAGTTAAGTCTATGAGTACAGAAGCTAAGACTTAAAGGACGTTCTAGAATGGACACTACCTCTCCCCTACACAGGAGTCGGGGCTCTAAGAGTGACTAATATACTGCAGGCAGCGGTCGTTACGTAGTATACGAGACACACACACCAAGTTTCAAACAACTCTAAATGTCCTAAGCAGCAGAAAACTCTTAGGGGCAGAGTATCTTTCTGATAAATGCAACTGAAAAATAGGTTATTTTTTTATAACAGATATTAACGAAAACCAAAATATGTAAAACCAAAATGACATTTCAAAAAATATATAGGTACGTAAGAAATATGATCAGAGGCTATAAATAAAGGTTTTTTTTAAGTTTTGTTTTAAACTCCTTTTCCTCAGTGACTCATGATCACTATAGGGAAATTTTTTTAAACTTTCATTTATCAATTATCCTACCCTTTTGAGATAGCTACTGCTAATATTTTGGTATACAAACTCATAAAATTGTGTGTGTGTGTGTATTTCAAGGTTGTTATCCGAAAAAAATAGTAAGTAAAAATTGTGAAATAGGGACACCTGAGTGGCTCAGTGGGTTAAGCCGCTGCCTTCGGCTCAGGTCATGATCTCAGGGTCCTGGGATCGAGTCCCGCATCAGGCTCTCTGCTCAGCAGGGAGCCTGCTTCCCTCTCTCTCTGCCTGCCTCTCTGCCTACTTGTGATCTGTCTCTGTCAAATAAATAAATAAAATCTTTAAGAAAAAAAAAATGGTGAAATAATAAACTCCATAAAAAGCTATGTGTTCTGGGGCATCTGAGTGGCTCAGTTGGTTGAGCGTCTGCCTTTGGCTCAGGTCATGATCTCGGGATCCTGGGATCCAGCCCTGTGTTGGGCTCCCTGCTCAGCGGGGAGCCGGATTCTCCCTCTGCCCCTCCTCTCCATTTGTGTGCTCTCTCTCTCAAATAAGTAATAAAAATCTTAAAAAAAAAAAAAAGAACTATGCCTTCTAATCTGAAAAGTATTTCCTTAATTAAATGTGAAAATATTTTGGAAAATTTTAATTCAATTAAGCTAGTTTTCTAAAAGATTTTATTTATTTATTTGGCAGAGAGAGAACATAAGCTCGCTTGTGGGGCTGAAGTAGAAGCAGACTCCCTGCTGAGTAGGGAGCCCAACCTGGTCCTCGTTCCCACAACCCTGGGATCATGACCTGAGCTGAAGGCAGACGCTTAATGACTGAGCCACCCAGGCGCCTCTTAAGCTAGTATTTTTAAAGGTATATAACCTAAATAAGTAATTATGATTAAAGTTTTCACCACCTAAACTGATTTCCAAAATGATAACACCACCACAATTTCTTCATTGAAGTATTAGGTAACCTCTACATGTTCAATTTATGGATTTTCAGTCAATAACATAGTACGCACACATTATAAACCATGTTTTCGAAACAAGTTTTTGAGAATATAGGTGAATGGCTATATGATATATTTTTAAGGGAAAAAATGGGCACATTGCTTTTAAATAACATAGACCCAGTTTTACTTAAATATATACATAAAACAGAGAAAGCCCAAGGACTGACATCCGTATTACAAAGCCATTAAGAGCCGTGTTTTAAAGAATTAGTATCATGAGAAAACGGTTATAATTCAATGTTACATGGGAAAAATTAGGAAATACAATATACCTAGGGCATGATCTCAATTTTGCTTTTTAATACAAATACATGGCTCACTGGAAGATTTCATACACACACAAACACACACATGTACACACACACAAAGAAAAAAGACTACAAGGAAATAATCAAAATGTTTACAGTGTTCATTCTCTGTTCTGTGCACGGTGATATTATGGAAATCCCCCCCATTTTTTTTTTATATTTTTCAAATTTACAACAAACAAATACTTGGACTATAATGTAAACAGAAAAGATTTTTCCCCCCAAAGAAATGCAATGTAATGAAGTATTCTAAAGACATAATATGCAGGATAACGGAGATACAGAAAATATGCTGGAAACAAAATTTTTTTTAAAATGTAAGTAAAAAATATAAAATACTATTTCTGTAGTAAAAAAAAAAAACCTGTAAATATCACTTTTAAATAATATATGAAATTTCTAAGCATTGTGATTGTTTTAGCACTCTCAAATACTTTACCGAATAAATTCTCGTCAAACTCGGGCAAAGTGACGGTAATACTTTTACGGACAGCTCGTGGCGATGTTCTCTTACCACGTGATGTTAAATTTTCTCTGAGCAATGAAAACAAAATGCAACGCTCAAATATTTCAGGCTTAACTGCCCACTGTCCGCTGCGCCTCAACGAGCCCGTCGCAACCCGGAGAAAACGGAGCGGGAGGCCGCGGCGCCGGCGGACCGCGGGGCTCTCACCTGGTCCGGCTGCACGCAGCCCGCTGCAGCTCCTGCATCAACTGGCCGGTGCACTCCGGCTCGCGGCTGGCCGCCTGCAGCAAAGCTTTCCTAAACGTGTGCCGGCATTTCTTTTGACGAGATTCTGCCCGCTCCAGGCGGCAGAGGTGCTTATATTTCTGCTGAAAGTAAGTGCAAAGTTGGGTCACCCTGGAGCTCCTACTCTCCGTATCATCGTCATCGGACCTGGAGAGCGCAGGGAGACAAGGGAGGAACTGATGAAACGTGAGGCTCGGGTTAGAGAGGGGGAAAGCGGGTCAAGAAGAGGGTCGGAGGCACAAGGGTCACAATGTGGGGCAGGTGAGCACATCACAAAATTCGAGGAGAATTCCGGTAGGGCTGAAAGAAGTACCGTATTTCGACAATGAAGAAGGCAGCAGAGCCCACCCAGCGCTTTCAGACGCTTCACCTTTCCAGCATGTCAAAATCAACACAGTGCATCAGGGTCTTTTAAATGTTAAGGGACTTGGGGTTCTCGGGAAGAAAACAGTTTCTTTACCTTTACTTACTAAAATGTCTGAGTAAATGACACGGCAGTTCTGAGGAAACACTCAGTGTAATTTCATAACAGATAGGTCACACCAGAAACAGAGCTTTATTTATTTGGCAGACAGAACACCAGTAGGCAGAGAGGCAGGCAGAGAGAGAGGGACAGACAGGCTCTCCACTGAGCAGGGAGCCCAATGTGGGGTTCGATCCCAAGATCCCGGGATCATGACCTGAGCTGAAGGCAGCCGCTTAACCAACTGAGCCACCCAGGCGCCCGCACATGTACTGTTTTTAATTCCCCTTTACCTGCTCAACACTTAAGAGAATGTGGATTGTAGGGGTCACAATCATTCTATAATAATTATTTTTAAAGAATTTATTTATTTATTTGACAGAGAGAGAGAGAGAGAGAGGTCACAAGTAGGCAGAGAGGCAGGCAGAGAGAGAGGAGGAAGCAGGCTCCCTGCTGAGCAGAGAGCCTGATACGGGACCTGAGCCAAAGGCAGAGGCTTTAACCCACTGAGCCACCCAGGCGCCCCCTTTCTATAATAATTTTTATTATTTTCTTAACATGAGATACCATTTTTAAAAAAGATTTTTTAAAAAATTTGAGAGAGAGAGAGAGAGGAAGCAGAGCAAGCGAGAGGGGAAGGGGCAGAAGGAGAGGGAGAAGCAAACTCCCTGCTGAGCTCAATCCCAGGACTCCAGGATCATGACCTGAGCCAAAGGCAGACACTTTAAGGGACTTAGCCAGCCATGAACTTCCCACTTTGCAAATTTCTGGTCTAAGAAATAAGTCCTAAGAAACATGTTCTCTTCAGTATAGCAGCTACTACAAAAACACCAAGTGAAGGATCTTACTTCAATCTTTTCATTTATTTAACATTCAACATTTGCTATTATGTCTATTACGCAGAGTCCTATAAAGGAGAAAAAATTTAAGCAGTTTGCAATGCAGTATAGACAAGATAAACAGATCCCCAAAGTTAAACAATTCAAAAGACAAAACAATAACTAGTAACAGTAACAATAACTAAAAACAATAAGTCAAACAATGGGGCAGGCTGACCAATGACTCAAATATCTGACCTCCAATTAGAAAAATCTAGGAGTTTTTCACAATTTGAGATCCCAAGACCACCCTAGATCTACTGAACCAGAATTTCCACGGAATGGGGCCCAGGAATCTTTATTCTGAATTGTTCCCTGAAGTCCCACACCAGGTTTTCATTTGGGAGTCCCAGTCGAGCCGGTAGATACTATAAATATCTTCAATGTGAGGCAGAGACCATACGGAGGTCTAGATATGGCTCACATGCTATTAAAGTTCACGAGCAAGATTGTTGGATGAGAGGCTCGGCAGAGGAGATGCCAACAGAACCGAACTGTGAAGAAAGGGCAGAATTTGAAGAAAAAGGGTACCTCACAAGGATAAATGAATACAAGCCGGGCTTCAGAGATGGACAGGATAGAGAACAGCAAGTACTAAGTAGCTTGCTTTGGCTAAGACATGGCGTACATAGGGGAGTGCAGTGGGTAAGGCAAACTTTCTAAACCTAACCTTTATTCTACCAGCAGTGAAGAACCTTGTAGAGTTTGAAGAAAACAGATAACAATAATAGAACCGTGCACAAGAAAGACTGCACTGACAGCAGGCAGAAGTGAGGAAGATGGGTGCCTGGGTGGTCATGATCTCAGGGATCTCTGGGATGGAGCCCCACATCGGGCTCTCTGCTCAGCGGGGAGCCTGCTTCCTCCTCTCTCTCTCTGCCTACTCGTGATCTCTGTCTGTCAAATAAATAAATAAATAAATCTTAAAAAAAAAAAGAAGAAGTGAGGAAGTGATAGGGAAGAGGGCAGGGAGGAAATTAGTATAAAACTCCAGGAAACAGGTAACAAGACCCCACACAAGGGCAGCAGCAGCCGGACTGCAGAAGAGGAAAGGGATCCTGCATGTATGAAAGGCAGACCTTGTCAACCGGGATGGGAGGATGCAAGGGACACTAATCATGTGGCCATTTCCGTCAGCCAAGACCAGGGAAGAGGAACACGAGCAGACCCGGGGCAGGAAATACATCGCATTTCAGACCTGAAGAAGGTAGAGTGCAGATGAGGTGTCCAAGGCAGCAGTGGGAGAAACTGTTGGAAACAATAAAGAGGAGCACAAGAACGAAGGGACAGACTTCCAAGCCAACAGCTGGCCAACTGAAGGACAGGAGGCACTGCAACTGAAAGGCCACAGAGGTAGTAGAAAGAACAAGACCTATAAGGCCATCACCATAAAAGAATTAGCTCAATTTGGTGCCTGGATATGAAGGATAAGAAGTCGATAATGGGGCGCCTGGGTGGCTCAGCGGGCTGAGCCTCTGCCTTCGGCTCAGGTCATGATCTCAGGGTCCTGGGATCGAGCCCCACATCGGGCTCTCTGCTTGGCAGGGAGCCTCCTTCCTCCTCTCTCTCTCTGCCTGCCTCTCTGCCTACTTGTGGTCTCGCTCTACCAAATAAATAAAATCTTAAAAAAAAAAAAAAGTCGATAATGACTCAATGACTTTGAACTTGCATAACTAGAATGGAAGGGCTATTAATAGAAAAAAGAGAGGAGAAACTGCAAGTCTTAAAGGGAGAGTAAAGCTCAGGTAGATAATCACTTGCCAAAGCTGTTATTTGGAAAGACTCTCTTGTGGCGGGGAGGACACACCAGATTGGCAGTTCTCAAGTTGACAGTGAATGTACAGATGCACCTGGATGTTGAGGCATGCGCCATGATTGTAATAAAAATTTTCAGGGGCGCCTGGGTGGCTCAGTGGGTTAAAGCCTCTGCCTTCGGTTCAGGTCATGATCCCAGGGTCCTGGAATCGAGTCCTGCATCGGGCTCTCTGCTCAGCAAGGTGCCTGTTTCCCACCCCCGCCTGCCTCTCTGCCTACTTGTGATCTCTGTCAAGTAAATAAATAAAATCTTTAAGAAAAAAAATTTTTTTTCAAAGCTTATGCAGAAGTTCCACGCTTATCTTGCTGCAGACCAGTAACACGCAGTCTGTAGACCCGCACAGGCCCACGGACTGTCCCCGGCATGTCCTTAACTAGAAAATCTCCAACATGCCTCCCACTTCCAAGATGCTCTAACACTCGTATCTCACACCTGGTTGTGGAGGAAGAGTAGCATTCCAGGCAGAGAAAGGCCAGCGGCCATTGTCTACCGGCAGTGACAGGCCTGCCACCTACTGCATTCTCAGTACTCCATTTCCCCATCTGTGAAATCAAGGAGAGCTGGCTCACCTACCTCCCAAGGTTGGGAAGAGAACGAAAAGAAATGACCTATCTGAAATCACAATATAAGCATAAGTAGTATTATTAGATACCAAAACCCGTATCTCTTATCTAGAATCAAATCACTTATTAAATATATACATGCACAAAACTCCTGGCCTAAACACGTTTACCATGAGCTCTAGCAACAGTCAAAGAAAAAATTAATTCGAATCACACGCAAAATATTCCAACTGTCCAAAAAGAGAGGAATATTCTTTTTTTTTTTTTTTTTTTTAAGATTTTATTTATTTATTTTAGAGAGAGATCGAGCATAAAGCAGGGGAAAGGGCAGAGGGAAGGAAATCTCCAGCCAACTCCACACTAAGCATGGAGCCCAATGCCGGGCTCGACCCCACAACCCCAATATCATGACCTGAGCCACAATCAGGAGTCTGACAATACACCAACTGAGCCACCCACGTGCCCCAAGGGAATATTCTTTTAATTAAGCTAACCTAAACTTGACGCCAAAAACTTATTAACAAGGGCAATATAACAAAAGGAAAATTATAGGAAAATCTTATTAATGACTTCAGAGGCAAAATGTATTAATAAGTTGAATCTAGCAGCATAGAAGAACAAGAAATATCCAATCTGGGTTAATTAATGTAGGAATGCAACAATTATTTTTCAATCTGATTTTACTAGATCGCTCTCCTGCAGAAAAACAATTTATTCTTCTTTCCTTTCATTTTCCAACTTGCTACTGCCTTGCTTCCTCCCGTTGTTTTCCTCATTTTCTCCTCTTTCTCTCCCCAGTCCTCATGTCAGTATGGAAATTCTTCATGTTCATAACTTCAACAACACTTAAATACTGAAGACACAAGTTTGTTCTCTAGCCCATACATACCTCACAATTACATTTCAGACACAAGGTATTTATCTGGCGTGCTCATCCACATCTAACTAGCCCAGAAATGCTGGAATTAGGACAGAGAACTAACTGGGGAGGAGGGGCACAGAAGACCTACAGGGGCCTCTCAGTTCTTCACCTGAGTACTGATCAGTACAGGAAGTGTGTGAACTGCCTGGAAAGAGAAGGCCAGACTTCCACAGAACAGGCATAGTTTGTGTTTTCATCATTCAAGGGGAAACACCTGCAACCTGCCGGGCACTGGGTAGGCCACTCAGGAGCAGACCGCCGCAGAAGTGGGGGTAAAATGAGCCCTCCGCTAAAGGCTGCTATGGCCCTATTTCATGAAATCTAAAAATCAAGACTCACATTTATTTCTAAGTATTTTAACTATGTCCCCAAACAAAGCTCTTAAAGGAAGACAAAATACCAGAATCAAGTAAGTGAAATTAACAATGTCTGGCATCTAATAAGAAATTATCACATTCAGGGGGGCCTGAGTGGCTCAGTGGGTTAAAGCCTCTGCCTTCACCTC